TCATTCTAAGTTTCATAAAATCTGTTAGCGGTAAAAGGCTCTGCAGAGGGCTAAGTTAATATACCTGAAACAATGACAGAGTAATTACTTCATAGAGCCTTGTTTCTATAACAGGAGTAGTTACATGGCTCGCAAAAACAGATAAACTGCCCGATGATCTGGAAATGCTAGGCTGCCTAATGAATCATTCATTCACTCCCACCACCTGGAAAGGCTGAGCACCTGGCTTTCGTGAGGTACGTCCTCAGGAGAATCAGTGTTGTTTCTCTTTTTGAGGGGCAGGGTATCAAAATTTTGAGTATTCGAAAACTGGCCATGAAGATTCATTAATGCAAACTAGCTAAATTAGAGCTGTATTTCAAACACAATAGGTTTGGAGCACAGAACTGAATGCAGAGTTAAAGTCAATAAATCACTTACTTACCGGAGTTCAGTCTTTCTTTGACATGAAGGGGCAACAGTAATGCAAAGTGCAGAAGCATGAAGCACTTAGCCTCTCTGAGCTGCTCTGATTTGGCTATTACTCAGGGTTGGGGTTGCGGGGGGGGCAGTAAATGAGATTGTGTATTTGAGGTGCCTGGCATACAGTGGGGCTCAATACTGTGTCATTTTTCTCTTACTGTCTTCCACCCAACAAGGGCAATGCCTGGACTCACACCATATGCAGTCCTGGGTCCAGCATCAGACACATTGCAAGCATCCTCGGGTATAACATAAGGGGAAATACTGCAGGCTGCTCTATCTGGGATTTACCAAGAAAGACGTGTAGAATATCGAGTTGGTGAGGGTACAAGCACAAGTCCATAGCCCTGTAATGCAGTGGAAGTTGGCACACTGAGAACTGAGGGAAAGAAAAATGAAAGCTGAGGGCCATCCCCCAGGACTGGGCTAAATCTCAGTGCCTGGATTCAACCGGTGACCATAGTTACTTTGTGGCTTTTTTTGCTTGTTTGTTCGTTTCTGTCAAAGTCCTGAGGTTAAACTTAAATGGAAACCAGAACTGGCTCTGCGATGAAGATTTAGAGAAGAATAAAAGTGACTGGTACGTCTGTTGATCAAGTAAACAAATCAATTGAAGAGGTCTCTCTTCATTGTTTTCCCAGTGGCAAGAGAAACCTGGCGTAGGATACGCAGTTAAATCAAGTATCAAAAGGAGGAAGGTTTCAAGGAAAAGCAAGAGGGAAAACAAAGCAAAACAAAAACCTAGACCAAAAACAGGACTATAGAGACACGGATGCTATCCAGGATTAAAAAAAAATTCTAGTACAGAATTAATCGGCTTTAAAAACCACCTCTGGTCATTTCAAATTAATGGTGGCAAGGGGCACACTGCTGCTCCAGACAGCAAGCTCCAAGTTCCAATGCAAACACGAGCATGATATGCAGAAAAAATAAGTTAAGGGTAACAGCCGCATTTCTACATCACCAGAAAAATCAAAGGATCTAAAATTAAATTAGAGTTAGAACCAGAAATTGGTTCTAATTGTAAAACAAAACCAAGTTCCCACATAAAAACGCCCCCTAACGGTCCACAAATAATGACATCATCAAAAACCATAAAGGCCTCAATTGGGTTTATTGAGTGTCATCTATCTGCCCGGCTCTATTCTATGCACGTTCCCATAGACTCAGGAATCATCACAGCAGAATCCTTTAAAAAACAAAGTTGGGGCGCCTGGGTGGCTCAGATGGTTAAGCGTCTGCCTTCGGCTCAGGTCATGATCCCCGGGTCCTGGGATCGAGCCCCGCATCGGGCTCCCTGCTCAGTGCAGAGCCTGCTTCTCCCTCTCCCTCTACCATTCCCTCTGCTTGTGCTCTCTGGCTCTATCTCTCTGTCAAATAAATAGATAAAATCTTTAAAAAATAAAAAAAGATAAAAAACAAAGTTAAAAACATTATTTTATAAAGGAAGAACATGAGGCACAAAGAGGATAAGTAACTTGTCCAGAAGTATAGTGTTTAGAAAGCATCAAAAACAGTGTGACCTCGGGGATGAGGCTCTAAGGCAGTAGTTCTCGTCCAAGAGGCCACAGTGGTGAGAGTCTCCTCCAACTCTTACAGGGTACCTATTAAGATGATACGATAAAATGCAATTTTTGAAAAGATTTTATTTATTTATTTCAGACAGCACAAGCAGGGGGAGAAGCAGAGGAAGAAGGAGAAGCAGACTCCCCGCTGAGCAGGGAGCCTAATGCGGGGCTTGATCCCAGGACCCTGGGATCATGACCTAAGACAAAGGCAGCCGCTCAGCTGACTGAGCCACCCAGGTGCCTCAAAATGCATTTTTTTTTTTTTTTAAAGGCCAGAGTTTCGAGGTTATTTTCAGATTTGAATTAAAAAGAAGTTCCTAGTTCTGTCTGCAGGGAAACTCGCTCCACCCTGTTCTGGCTCCACTACCTGCAACCATCCTTCTTCCATTAGGTTCATCCTGAGTGCGTATCGTAGTGCCAAAAAATGGAGTTCTTACCAATTGTTGACATCCAATGAATATGATAGGCTTTCGATAAGTGATCACTGAACTGAATTCAGCTGAACAGAAAGAAAAGCCCGATCCTCTGCATGAGGAGAGAGAGGAAAAGGCAAAGAAAGCACCATTCCACACTTGGAGAGAGGAAAAATAGTTAGGGGTTCTGAAGTGAGCCACGCCGGCCCCAGCGTTAAGAGCACGTGATCCATCACACCCTTCCACAGCCCCATCTGCCCCACACTCACTAGAGGCTCCCTGTTCTCATCTTAGCCACATCCTTCCTCCACTGCGAGTGGGGCTGGGCGGCAGCTTCACAGGAAGGGAACTAGGTCACAGATAATCGCAGTCCCTTCCCATCTGCACCGTTCTCCCACACCTTCCCGGCTCTGGCTCGGGAGACGGAGGGAAGGCTGGAGCGGGATGCAATTCTTTAGCTGTACCTCAGCAGTACGCCCAACCTGAAGGGTCTTAGGAAGGCGTGAAATTAGCCCAGTCTGTCAATCAGGGAGCACAGCTGGACTCTGGCTAAATTCTATCAAATGGAAAGGGGAAGGAAACTTTTGAAAATTAAACTGAAGGAGGAACCTTTTCCTTGGGGCGGGGAAGGTGCTTCTAATTGACTTCTCATTGGAACGCAGGTTCACCCAGGGCCCCAGGCCTTACTCCTCTGTAGAAGGAAATGAGAAGGTGGGCCACAGGCTACCCCAGCCAAAAAAACACTCAAATAAATGAGACAGAATTAACTTGCCAGCATCCTGCTAATGAGGAGCATCACACACCCAACTCACTGTGCTTTTAATTTCCAAGAGATAATTTAACTATCATTAGCTCTGAGGTCTCTTCATGATGGCCATGGGGTGGCCCTGGGGCAACCATATAAAACAAAAAAAGTCTGAGTGGCTCTCAAAAGGGAAAGAGACATAAAGGTAAAGGAAAGGGACAAACCCCACAGAATTTAAGGACACATGCCCTGTGGCAGTACTGGTTTGGCCTCCATCCCCAAAAGCTGTCCCCTGTCCCCGTGACACAGAGGAGAGGTGCCTGAGTCTCATGCGAAAAATTACGGCAGAAGTACATCATTAGCCTCAAAATGGAGGCATTCTCTTTACTGCGTGGTGGCACCAGGGAGCTGCTATTAACTACTGGTCAAACAGCAATAGCACACCCCAGTGTATACCCTCTGAAATTAGCCAGCACCCATTTCACAAGGCCCTAGGGCTGCCTTTGTCCATCAAGGGTGGAGGGGAAGCCGGCTTTTGATTCCCTACTCCGTTCTTCCCCTGTTCTTGCCCCATACAGTCTTAACTCTGCCCCACCCCCTCCATTTTCCTCAAGGTGAAACTGAAATCATTGAAGCATGCAACACGTAAATTCCATGTGGCCCATAAAATGTCCTGCAACCCTTAAAAAAAAAGCTGCTATTTGAATTTAAGGGTAGAAACTAAAATAAGGCTCAGCTAAAAAGATTTAAAAAAAAAAGGTAAAAGTAAGTAACTCAGCTTGTAAGAAATAGCTAACTCAGCCAATAAGCACATGAAAAAGATGCTTGACATCACTAATCATTATGAAAATGCAAACCAAACCACAGTCAGATACTATTGCACACCCGTTAGCATAGCTACATGACAAAACAGAAAACAAGTGTTGACAAGGATGTGGAGAAACTGAGAACCCTCATGCATTGCTGGTAGGAAGGTAAAATGGAGCCATCGCTTTGGAGAAGTTTGGTGGTTCCTCAAAAAAAAAAAAAAAAGGAACAGAATTACCCTATGATTCAGCCATTCCACTTCTGGATATACACCCAAAGGAACTAAAAGCAGAGTCTCAAAGAGTTGTGTGCACACCCATGTTCACAGCAGCATTATTCACAATAGTTACAAGGTGGAAGTAACCCACGTATCCATCCACGGATAAATGGATAAGCAAAAGGTGGTATAACACAATGGAATACTACTCAGCCTTGAAAGGGAAGGAAATTCTGATACGCTATAAACATGGATGAATCTTGAGTACATCAAGTTAACTGAAATAAGGCAGAGTCACAAACAGGAAAATGCTGTATAAATTACAGGAGTAGTAAGAGTAGTCAAAATCAGTGAGACAAATTAGAATGGTTGTGTTCAGGGGCTGGAGGAAGGGAGGAATGGGGAGTCACTGTTTAACGGGTAGAGTTTCGGGTTTGCAAGATGAATTGTTCAGGAGATGGATGCTGGTGATGGTTGTATATCAACATGAATGTACTTAATTCCCACTAAATGGTAAAGACGGAAAATTTTATGTTACATGTATTTTACTAGACTTTTTTTTTTTTTAATCGGGGGAAGAAAATATAAACAGCTACATCAGCTTGTTTTTTCCCCTCAAGGAAAAAGAAATCATCCTAGTTAGGAGCAGGGGAAAATAAGGAAGAAGGGAGGCACAGGTCCACCAAGTAAAAACAGTACACATTTCTCGACTTTTCAAATTCCAGGCTTAGCAGCAAAACTGACTTAAGCACACCTTTCCACACCCCAGAGCCAGAGAAGTGACTCACCTCACTGAGGTAAATAAAAAAAGAGCAGGTGGACCCATCCACTCCGTATTCTGCGTAGCAGGGATCCGAGCGCCACATATCTTTCATCCACTGAAACGACAAGAGCCAGGTAAGGACATCGATGAGCAGCCCGTTACCGGTGGCCCCGCACATCCGCTGATAGAGAAACCAAGGATATGAAGGGCAAGGAGCAGTGAGTGGCTCAGACTGGGGCTCAGAGTCACTGAGCTGAGGTCAGGACAACCGATGCCCAGTTCCTAGATGATCCACAGGGAGACACTGGCTTGAGCTGGGCCTTAAGCAGAGGTGCTCAGGGTACAGGAGGGTTGCAAGACATACAGGGCAGTAAAGCCCAGGACAGGCAGTGGCCGGGGGACTTTCATCAAGAACAACTGCCTAAGGGGACCCTTGCTTCAAAACCAAGAGAGCTACAGTTCTCCCCAGAGAGCTACAGTTTCACAAGCTCCAGTACCAGGCCTGGATCAAGAGAGCATGAATGCAGGCGTGCAAGGTGTGTAAGGCATGCATGAGTCCCAAACAGGAACCATGCAAATGCTTCTGGGGTTTGGTCTCACCATCCTAAGCAAACATAGGAACCAAGACTTTTCCTCTGAAAACTGCTAAGCAGGGGAGTGGTCTCCTGCATACCAGCAGACCATACGAGAAGGATTTTTTAAAAAAAATGTTCAGAGTGAAAGAGTGTCTCAAGGGTCTCTGGTTACTCAGCTGCAAATGCTAATGTGACATTTAAATCACAATCTGGAGACCTCATGGCAGGGGCCTGGGGACTGGGGGAGAGGGAAGCTGGACCCTACATAATGGCAGCCCCTTGTCAATGGCCCTTGAAGGATCACCTGCTGGAGGCTGGGAACGCCAGGGGAAGGCAGCTTCAAAGACACAGCAGGCTCCCGAAGTGGCCCACGCTCCTTCAATCTGACCAGTTAGAGCCATTGTTGACTAACCCCATGGAGTTGGCAGAAGCAGACAAGGGTTGTCATGGCCACAGCCGCAAACTGGTAGGATTGAGGCACCCCTGAAATGACTCCCTTAAAGGGCTTGCTTGCCATCTGTGTTACTGGGGCGTTACAGAGAGGGGAGGGGAAGGAAGAGGGTATCGGTGCAGACTGAAGATGACGGGAATGAACGGAAGTTACTTCTGCCTTACCTTGATTTTCCCCTCACAGTGGGGGTAGCCATCCATAGGAGGCAATACACATTTTTCTTGAGCTCCATTAATGATATCTGTAAAGATGAAAGAGAACAAAGGATTCCATAAAGTTCATGAAACACAAACCTAACACCCTTGTAAGCAAGGGGCAGGGAAAGAAACGGAAAAAGGAAGTCTATACTGGGAGCCATGCTCTGACCGGTGGAACCCCTCCCGCGGGCCGCCAGTCCAGTTGGTCTGCAGCGAGGAGCCGACCCAAGGACGGCCCACCTGCGGGATGGCCAGAGACCAACGAGGCATGTGGACTCGCCTGAAAGGATGAGCTACACCAACCCCAGTGCTTGCTGGGAAATCTGCAACTGGGCAACAGAATCCAAACAAATGGAGACGAGGCAATGGAGCCATGAGATTAGGAAGGACCAGCAGGGCTGGCAGGGCCATGCTAGGCTACGCAGACAGACTGAGGTCAGGAGCAGCTTCAGGACATGTGCTTGAACTGAGCAGCTGGCTAAAGACAGGCAAAAAGAACCGGTGTGCACAGAAGGAGAAAGCCACCAGACACATCTGCGAGGAACAGCTCCTTATGGACCTGGTCCTTAAATTTCTGCAGAGATTTCCTTACTGCTTCAGGTATTTCCTCACGGATCAACTCCCCTTCTATTAGTTAGCTCAAGTGGATTCCGATTCCTTTTGACGACAGAGTCAAAACTAAAAAGAAACTAAAAAGCTTACTGTTTAGTGGTAGACAACGGACAAATATGTAAACCACTGGACAGCAGTGTAACAGACATTATGTTAGAGCGGACCAAGGGCAGGGCACGCACACCAGTCTCCAGGCTCAAAGAAGCCTTCCTGGATCTAGTGACATCTCAGCTAAGAAGCAGGAGTGCATCAGGGGAAGGGGCCAGCTAGAGATGGTGTCTGAGGAACTGGGGAGGCTCCAAAAGCAGGGACACGCTCCGAGGGGAATGCCGAAGTGGGAGGTACTGAGTGGTCAGACAGGAGCTTGGGCAGGGCCCAAACCAGAAAGGCCTCTGGCAAGCGCCCTAGTAAAGACTTTAATCTTTAAGCTAAGGGCGTGGCAGAGCACTGAATGCTTTTAAGAAGGGAACGGTTAAGATCAGACTGATGTTTACGAATCATCATTTCAGCTGGAAACTGGGACAACTCTAAACCTACATGCTTCTCTTCGGGGACCAACGATATTTTCCAGACATGCTTGGAAAATGTCACCATTACTTACTGCCAACAGTTTTCTATACAAAGTGCTAATGAGAAATTAGATCCCAAACTACAGTATCATTTGACAGTGGTATTTTAAACGAGGTTGGTAGCTGCTGGGGCTAAAATAAAAGCTGTACCTGTCCTTGAAAATTAGTTCTTTTGACAGTCTTAAACAGAGAGGTTCTTCACCTCTTGATTCAGCGTTTTCAGGAACATTCCACCAGCTACTCACATAACTAGAGCATAAAATCAATATCCTCATCAAGGATTGCAGGCGGTGTCATTTAGTGGTTAACATGGAAGATACTTAGCTTGTCAGAGCCTCTGTTTCTCCATCTTGTAAAACTGAAATAAGTGCATCTCTGTTTCATCCAGCTTTTACTCAATAAGTTCATATTTGTAAAAAGGCTAGTCTGGCACTCCCAACAGCGGACTCTCACCACAGACAATAGTAGGCGCTTAAAAAGTTGGCATTTGCTATATAGTTCCTCACAACTTACACTCAATGTATCTAGGAAAGCAGTATTTCAAAAGCACAGATCTTTTGGAAACGCATTCTCCGTGGTTTTGAAATGAATGCACGCTTGAGGTAGTAGATCTCCCTACAGCAACCCCCTTCTCTCTCACTTGTAAGGGGGCCAGCGAGCTCCAGAACCCACTAACAGATGCCTCCCCAAAGAACAGAGATGCTTTTCAATGACTGCTGATCCTATTTTTGTTTCGGATTTTGCTTGGCTACATTTACCAAGCAAATAAGCAGCATAGGTTCCAAGAAAGTAAGCAGAGTCTGAAACAGCTGGGGGTCAGGGTAACGGGACATTTAAGGGGATGCTTAGGGAGAAATGCCCCCTTCCTCTGGACACTCTAAGCACTATTATAGTTCCAGACATTCAGAGCCAGAAATTATGGAAACTAGAGACTACAGAGTTGGAGGTGCAGTAGAGTGGATTGAAGAGAAATCACTGGCTGGTAAAATAAACCAGTAAGTCCATGAAGTCCTGCCATCAAAGTCTGGTCGCTGACAGTGTGGGTCCTTTTCATAAAGACTTTCAAGGAATAACAATCCGTTATGCCAAGGGTTGGCAAACCTTTTATGCGAAGGAACAGATAGTAAATATTTGAGGCTTGGCAGGCCACAGTGTGTCTGCCCCAGCTATGCCACTCTGGGTTGTAGCAGGAAAGCAACCCCATTTAATAGGGGAATGAATAGGTGTGGCTGTGTTCCAATAAAACTTTATTTACAAAAACAGACACAGACCCCCCCCCCAATATTTGCTATGCTAAGAGAGTCTCAAAATGAGGATTCTTGTTTTTGCAAAGACCTGCTGAAATGACTTTTTTTGGAGGATACCTGTAGGCATTCCCTGGCCCCTACCCCTACCCTTTGTCCACCTGGTTAACACCCCTCTTTAAAGAGCCAGTTCAAGAGTCACCTCTGTAAGAAACAGGCCAAACCCTTTCTTCCTAGGCCAAACCAGAATGTAGTTAGGATTTAGTGCCACCTTCCTCCTCAAATCTCTCCTGTGGCTTTGAGCAATCCCGTTCTTTCCTTCACATGGCCCATCTCCCCTTCTAGGATGAGGACGCTGTGGGGAGGTTACATGGGCCCGCCCCATCACCAGGCACTCAGTCAGTGCAGGCTGACTGAATAAACACACATGGCCCCCTGCTCCACCTCCCCTGACCAACTCTTCAGCTCAGGGAGAATTAGACTGAGCACGAGACCTGTGCTAGACCGGGGTTTTTCCTTCTCTTCCACCTGGCAGCTTGTCAGCTAATCCAACAGGGTTCTCTCTGCAATTCCATTAATGTAGGACCAATTTTCTCTCCACTTAGTTACACAGTGATGAGTCTGAATATACAATGATGCCCAGAAGTGGGGTGAAATGGCTTAAGGCTCTGGGGTAGGAAGGATCTGTGAAAGGGGGACACAGGAAGTGCCAGGCTTCCCAGGGAGGAGTGAGCTCCTCCCTGAATCTGACCACCAGTAACCTGACCTCCAGTAAACTGAGCGTGACCCTCCAGCACCCCCCACCTTCTGAGGAGTTTCAGCACATCTCAGAAGGCAGCTCCCCATTTTGTTTCCATCACAATGACGAAAACTCAGTAAATAATGTCTTTATTAGTCTGTGCACACAGAAGACTTTGCTACCTAGAGAAGAGCCTCCAATTTAAGGTTAGTCAAAAGACAAAACTTCAGGCCCACAAAGGTTAATGTTACTGCTTTTCAGGGGAGACTTAGCTTACTGTACATTAAGCCCCTTCAAAAGAAGACCGGATTCTGCCACAATATGTTACTAGAAGCTTCTCCCTGCCATTCACCCGACATGAGATTCTCCCAATGTCTTTTGTTTTTGTAATGGTGAACGGGCAAGGGGGAAAAAAGATGTTGACATAAGCAAAGACGCTCAGCACTTCCTGCTGTTCAGGACTCTGTTTCATCCCTTACCCTCCCAAACCGGCCACGCTGTGTCTCTCTCCAAAAACTTCATCTCTGCACTGATTCTATGGCATTGTCAACCAGGTATTACAGAGGGCAGAATGCCTTGGTGTGCAAATCCTGTTATTTTATCAGTCACCTGGACCCACACAGTGCAGCAGGGGCTAGAATACTGGCTTTAATCTAAGAAAACTCTTTTCTTACGATCAGAGATGCTTATGACTCAGGAAGAACACATGTGCAGGAGGATCAGAAGTGACAGAGAGCTCATGCACACACACAGAGCGGGTGTTCCTGCCAGGTGTGCAGTCAAGTTCTCCATGTGGAGACAGTCCGTCCCCGTATATGCACACACGTTGACAGAGGGACATGCTGAGAGTGACAGTGGCATTTTCTTTTTTTTAAGATTTTATTTGAGAGAGAGAGAGAGCACGCTCATGCACGTGGGTGGGGGAAGGGTCAGAGGGAGAAGCAGACTCCCCACTGAGCAGGGAGCCCAAGGCGGGGCTGGATCCCAGGACCCTGGGATCATGATCTGAGCTGAAGGCAGACGCTTAACCCACTGAGCCACCCAAGCGCCCCGAAACACAGAAGATTTTTAGTCATGCTTCCCCCCACCTCTAAGGAAGGAAGGAGAAAGCAGGGCAGGCAGAGAGGGCAGACACCAGTGGTACAGACGGGCTCAGAGACGATGGGAACAGAAAGAGGCGGAGCAGGAAATGAAGGTGGGTGATAACTTCCCCTGAGATATTACCTGCTTTTCTAAGGGGGGAAACAGACATGATCACGTTTTATATTAACTGCACCCTCCTGAAAAGGAAGGCAGTTACCTCATCTTACAGCTTGGAAAGGAGAAACTTTAAAATCATCAGCATCCACCTCCAAACTCAGCCCACGGTCACCAAGAATGTGCTGCCTGCTGTGTGCTGAAATGTCAAAGCTGGATCCTTGCAACAAGACATGGTCTGTGTCCTCATGGAGCGTATTGCAGCGGGGCGAAGGAGAGACCTCACACAACTGAGTCAGACACATGTTAGCCAAGACCCCCTGCGAGGCAGGATGGCCCCCTCCGCGCTGGGGCCTGGTGCCCAACACGGCACCTGCAATATGCCAGCTCCAGAGTATTCTTTTCAACAAATCAATGAACAAATGTAACAAAGGGGTGAACAGCTCCAAGTTCCAGAGAAGCGGAGAGGGGAGAAAGTACCACAGAAGAAAGTACCTCACTCAGAATCACTGCACCAAGAACGCCGAGTTCTGGAACAGAGCTGCAGGGATTTGTGTCCGACATAAGGAAAAATGGCAGGAACACGCGGCAGGGAAAGAAGAGGCATTTCTGATGCAGGGAGGGGACGTGGCCTACCCCCATGTGAGTTACCGGTGTTCATACCTTACTGGCATTTAAAAAGA